TCAGCCTGCAAACACCTCTCGACGTCTCTGACCCAGTTACTCCTGGAGGCAGAGGTCAAGCAGATCACTATGGGGGCCTTGCAGCAATTCAACTTGGATGTGAAAGAGTGTGAAAGTAAGAGACTTCTTACCTGGGATACCTCCTAGATGTGTGTCTACTGCACAGCCCAACTGCCTCATCCACTGCAAAACCTTGCATGCAAGGGGTGTGCTGGCACTTGTAGTGTTTGAGAATTCTTCACTATATACCTGTGCACTCTTAATGACAATCAATTTCTGTCTATCTGATCTGTGTCTATGGGTACCTGCAGACATGACAGGTCATTCTTCCCATCTGGCCATTTTCTCTGGTTGTTCCCTGGCTAGCTGCTGTTGAGGGGAAGCCCAATACGTGACCCACTCACTGTTGTTCCTCCTCTAATCATATTTTCCTTTTAAGTGGTGTTAAAGGTAAATTAAAAAAAAAAAAAAAACACGTCGTATTTACCTGCTCTCTGCAGTGGTTTTGCACAGAGCAGCTCCAATCCTCCTCTTCTTGGGTCCCCTGCCAGCTGTCTCTTCCCCTCCCTCCTAAAAAATGTTTCCTCCACCTACCTCCCACCTATCCTGCCTAGCCTGTATAAAAAGATCTGTGTATTTACCTTTTTTTTTTTAATCTGCTTCTGTCTGGTGATTGTGATCCTGCAGCTCCACTTTCCCTGTGTAAGGGAGCACTCAACAATGCTTGGGAATTCTGAGAACATTGACATCACCCATAGCCCAGCCATTTTGCTGCTCCCTACTCTTCCCTGCAAGTGTCTTTCCCTGACACAGGGAAACTGGACCTTCAGGATCATGTGATGGGACCAAAGTGGTAGAAAAGTATATAAGCATCCTTTTTTTTTTTTTTTTTTTTTTTTTTTTTACAGGTTAGGTAGGTGGAGGGAGGGAGCATTTTTAAAGTATAACTAAAGGCTAAAGGTGCTATTATGTTGTGGGGGGTGCCCCATTGTTGCTACGGGCATCTGTTATTGGTGGATTTATTGTTGCTGGGGGGATCTATTGTTGCTGTTGCAGGGGATCTTTTCTTGTTATCATTACCAAATCCCATACAAATAACTTTGCACAACAAATGGATACTTGGCATTGCATTCTTTAAAAAGGGCAGTACTGGAAGGTGGATAGGAGGTGGTGCAAAGAAACAGTGCTTGGAGGTGGGGAGGGGCGGACACAAAGGGTGATTCAAAAAGGGGGGAGTTCCTGCACCTAAAATCTTTGGATGCACCACCACGTTTTCGCTAGCAAATTGGTCACCACAGCAAATCAAAATGGTGAATCTCTCCAGTTGGATCAATGCACAGCAATGGAAACCTGACAATGTTAACACTTCCACAAAATAACTCTTTAATCAGGACTTTTGAGTTTATATAATAAAAGAACAAATTTCAAGGAGAGGAAACTGTACTTATCCCTTCCACTTATACACTTATCCCAGTGTTTAAACAATTCAATACCGGGCAATTTTACGCCTTCCTGCCAAGGACAGTTTTCAGGTTTCGGCGCTCTCACACTTTGAATGACAATTGCGCGGTCATACAACATTGTACCCAAACTAAAATTTTATCATTTTCTTCACACAACTAGAGCTTTCTTTTGGTGGTATTTAATCACCGCTGGGGTTTTTATTTTTTGCTAAATTAACACAAAAAGACCAAAAATTTTGAAAAAAAAAAAAGTTTTTCTTTGTTTCTGTTATAAAAGTTTGCAAATAAATAATTGTTCTTCATAAATTTAGGCCGAGATGTATTCTGCTACATGTCTTTGGTGAAAATAACCCAAATTAGGATGTATTTTTTAGTTTGTAGGAAAGCTACAGAGTTCACAAACTATGGTATAGATCTGAATATTGATCAGTCCTGAAGTACTGACAGCCAATCTAATTTCTTGAGGTCCAAGAATGTCAGAACAGTACAGATATCCCCCCAAATGTCAGAACAGTACAGATATCCCCCCAAATGTCAGAACAGTACAGATATCCCCCAAATGTCAGAACAGTACAGATATCCCCCAAATGTCAGAACAGTACAGATATCCCCCAAATGTCAGAACAGTACAGATATCCCCCCAAATGTCAGAACAGTACAGATATCCCCCAAATGTCAGAACAGTACAGATATCCCCCAAATGTCAGAACAGTACAGATATCCCCCAAATGTCAGAACAGTACAGATATCCCCCAAATGTCAGAACAGTACAGATATCTCCCAAATTTTTGCAAAGTAGACAGTCCGACGTACTTCATAAGAGTTTTTTGAAGTTGTATTTTTTTTGTCATAATTTTTTGGAAAATGAAAAAATTAAAAAAATTAGTTTTCACCATTTTTTTTTTTTTTACATATTGTCACCAGTGCAGTACAGCGTCATCATATAACTGGCATGGCGGTGATCAGGGACACTGACTGGTGACAGTATGAAAAAAATATATATTTATTTTTAAATTTTTTAAATTTTTTTTTAAGATTTTTTTTTTAAGATTTCACTATGACCAAAGTAGTACAATGTTACCATAGTAACATTGTACTACTTTGGGGAAGTGATCAGTATTTTTTTTTTTTTTTTACACAATTTGCTTATAGCAAAGAATGACTTTGCTACAAGCAAGCATTTACCTGAATGACATCGATTCATTCAGGGTTTTTTTTTGTTTTGTTTTTTTTTTTTTGTGCTTGGCTGTGATTTGGCCACAGCTAATCACATGACATGTGCATGTGATTAGCTGTGACCATTCACAGCTAGACACTAGTATACAATGGATGGCATGAATGAAGCCATCCATTGTATACAACTGTCATGTGACCTGCTGTGATTGGTCACAGCAGGTCACATGGTACCGGCAACGGGGCCAATACTCAGATCTGTCATCGGCCGTGTCTGAGGTACATGGCCGGTGACAGATCGCGCTGCTGTGCCGCTCTGCAGGAGCGCAATCTGCACATGTGAGGGAGGACGCCATATGGCTTCCACCCCGAACGCTGATGACATTTGCCACCCGCCATTCGGCCATAGGGTGGGCGGCAAATGGTTAACTAATGCCTGGAAAGCTTCGGCATGGAAAGATTTGTCAGTACGCCTCAACCATCCTAGGACAGCCGGCTTCACTTCGTCATCATTGTGTTCTCCGTTCCCACAGACAGATTTGTCTCTTGTGCGATGTTGCGACAGGTTATACATCCGTTATCCAGGATCAGGCGTTCCATGCGTTGAATGTTCACAAGAATGACTACTGTGGGCTGGGAACCACCACGGCCGGACAGCTATCTTTGAAACGTTTACACCATTCATATGTCTTCTTGTGGCTCATCACCGTACTGTGCTTGAAGTCTTCTGTAGATATCTGCGGGTTTTAAGTCCTCATTCTTGTGAAACTTCATTCTCACTCGCTGTTCCATGCACGCACTAACACTGTTGTCTGCCATCTTTGATTAACGTTCTCTGGACTGGCCCGCGACATGTGCGCCACCTATCAGTAATAGGACACACTTACCACTTACTACTGTGTGTAGTACCACCACGCTAGCATCTCTTTTTATACCTGTACAATTAAAAGTCCTGGTGTGACTTGAACGCCCCTCGTATATGTTGGTACCATGTACAGATGGTTGGGTTTGGTGTCAGATTATAAGTCTGACGACATCACTTTAGAATGTTTGCTTTTGCCAACATTCGTGGCACCGGCGTGTTATAGTGTAGCCCCATAGGAGAACCAACCAAGGAGGGTGGCCACCCTAGTCCTACAAGGAGACCGCTGAGGGTGAACATAGCCCTCTTCATACAGCAAGTGCAGCAGCAGGATTTTAGGGATACGTTATTTTTAGAATGGAAAACACAGGCAGAATCTTAGTCAGAAACCTATTTGTAGACATGAGCGGGGAATGCAAATTACTATTAATTTATATTTTTGTAGTGCTTTTTTTCCTGGGGGCTCAAAGCGCTTTACCAGCTAATGGGGCAAATTATATATCAGCCAACATGATAGCGTTCAGTAGAATATCATGCTAGGGTCAATTTTAGACAATCTGCCATCACGTCCTTGGAGTGTGGGGTAAAACTCACACAAACACAGGGGAGGACATGCAAACTCCATGCAGACAGTGTCCTGACGCAGGCTCAAACTGTCAGGCAGAAGTGCTAGCCGCTAAGCTGCTGCTGCTCTCCAGTCAGTTGTATTTATTTTTGTCATTTGAGTTTAGTAGCACTTTAACCACTTCCAGTCTGGACACTTTTACCCCCTTCCAGTCCAGGCCAATTTTCAGCTTTCAGTGGTATCACACTTTGAATGACAATTACGTGGTCATGCAACACTGTACCCACTCTTTAGTGGCCTTTTGGGCTTTTAGAATCAATGCTCAAATCAATCGTATAGCTTATACCTTTGGAAGATTTTGAGAACAACCCCTTTATAGGGACTATCAAGTGGTGTTTTATCCTTCTGGGATCTCCCTGGTGATTTGCCTGACACGTGGTCGCTCCATGCATTACCATCATCTGTCCCGACACACGTACCTCAAGTAACTCCTGAAGAAGCGATACTGTCACGAAACATGTCGAGTAACTATCATGTGATTACCCATATCGACATTCGATTTATGTCTTTTGATATCTTTACCGGGATACAGTACATTTGTGTCAATTTTAATAATTTTTGAAGAGTTTTGTAATTAGCATAGAATACTCTACCCCCCCCCCCTCTTTTGGGGTCTTGCATTCTTAGCGGAGTAATATGTATGTAATTGCTATGTAATGGTTTACATTTCTATAATAAGTACCATCTCTATGCTGATGACACACAAATCTATCTTTCTACCCCTCACCTCACTCACCCCTTCAGTCTCCTCTCGCATTACTAACCTACTAAGTGACATATCGGCATGGATGTCACTCCACTTCCTCAAACCCAATCTTTCTAAAACTGAGCCCCCCCCCCCCCCCCAACTTCTCCATAAATATCAATAACACAATCATCAGTCCCTCCCCTCATGCCAGGGTACTAGGTGTAATCCTAGACTCCCATCTGTCCTTTCAGTCCCAAATCCGGTCACTGTCCAAATCATGTAGACTTCTCCTCCACAACATCTCCAAAATACGCCCGTTCCTAACCTCAGAAACCACTAAGCAACTTATTCACTCCCTGGTTATCTCTCGCCTTGACTATTGTAACTCCCTCCTCATTGGCCGACCTCATCGCAGGCTATCCCCTCTGCAGTCTATCATGAATGCTGCTGCCAGACTCATCCACCTTACTAACCGTTCTGTATCTGCCACCCCTCTCTGCCTATCCCTCCACTGGCCTCCACCCCTCTCTGCCAATCCCTCCACTGGCCTCCACTCAGTGTCCTCCACCCCTCTCTGCCAATCCCTCCACTGGCCTCCACTCAGTGTCCTCCACCCCTCTCTACCAATCCCTCCACTGGCCTCCACTCAGTGTCCTCCACCCCTCTCTGCCAATCCCTTCACTGGCCTCCACCCCTCTCTACCAATCCCTCCACTGGCTTCCATTCAGTGTCCTCCACCCCTCTCTGCCCCATCCGTCCACTGGCCTCCACTCAGTGTCCTCCACCCCTTTCTGCCAATCCCTCCACTAGCTTCCATTCAGTGTCCTCCACCCCTCTCTGCCAATCCCTCCACTGGCTTCCCATTGCCCAAACGGATAAAATTCAAAACATTAACAATAACATATAAAGCCATTTATAACTCTGCCCCAAATTACATCACCAATCTTGTCTCCAAATATCACCCAAACCGCACTCTCCGCTCCTCGCACGACCTCCTGCTCTCTTGTCTTCTCCTCCCAAGCTCGTCTCCAGGACTTCTCCAGAACTTCCCCCATCCTCTGGAACTCTTTACCCCCAATTTATCAGACTATCGCCTACTCTGCTCACTTTTAGGCGATCTCTGAAATCTTATCTCTTCAGGGAAGCCTATCCTGCCCTCAGCTAATAATGGAATCTTCTACCCTTCCTACCAGTCCATCCCCCACAGTTACTACCTTCTGTACCACTAGCCCCTCCCTCTTAGATTGTAAGCTCCCAGGATCAGGCCCGCCTATCCCTCTTGTATTGAACTGTATTGTTGCTGTATTGTCTCCCGTTATATTGTAAAGCTCTGAGCAAACTGTTGGTGCCATAAATCCTGTATAATAATAATAATAATAATAAAGTGATTCAAAGATATCTTTGTTGCAGTGCCTCTAAAGTTTGCATTTGGCATTTTGTTTTTTATTCTAATATATGATGATGGTCATCAGGGCCGGAGTTAAAGAGGCAAATTGGGTAATTGCCCAATGCCCTCATCCTCATGAATGGCAGCAAGTGAAGGGAACTGGAATGCTGTGCATATGGGGCCACATTTTGTCTGCATGCTGGCCATAGATTATCTTCCACCTTCTATGTGTCAGATCACTATTTTTTTGGAGGCCTTTAAGTAGTGGAATCTCCAATGACACTGGAGGGAGCTAGGGGAACCTGCCATAGTAGGATTAAGAGCTTCTAATTAGATGCTTGTAAAAATGTTAGTCCTGGCCTGAGACACTAAAGAGCAGGTGCCGACAACCTGACCAGCAGGGGGCCTGACCTCTGCCGCCCAGCCAAGACCTGCGCTGCCACCCTCATCCCAGGGAGGATGACGGATTGCTGTCCATCCGTCACTGTCAGGCATGCAGGCAGCTCTGAATAGGAGCCCTGGATAAAACTCTGATTTCTTTTCCTGTGGGAAGCGGCAGGTTTTGTTGTCTGGCAGCTTCTGTCTTGTAATCTACTTGTTTAAAGATTTACAGACTGCAGCCTTGCTGGAAGGGGGGTTATTAAAGGGGAAGTCCATCTATTATGCTGGAGGTGAAAAGGGCCAGTGGCTCATTGAGTCCAGCTGTAAGATGCCTTCAGATGCCCTAAAGGAGGCTCTGACCATGGTGCTACTTCTGCCAGGGAGCTGCTTACTAATTGTGAATGAGAACAGATTGCGGTGTATGGTCTTATCGGTGTCATGAAAGTCTTGCTTTGTAATAGGGACACAAGAGCAGCCATATTTAGTCATGGCAACTGTAGACTCTGCTTCCTAAGTAGTAGTGATACCTGGTTAACTGACGCCTTTTTTTTTTTTTTTTCTACTAAAATAACATACTTGTCATCTTTTTTCATCCTTTGTTGCATCACAGTGATCTCCTGCTGCCACTTTACAGCCATTTCCTGTGTACATGCACACCTGTAATGGCTGCATGGCATTTATCATTATTATTATACAGGATTTATATATTATTATTATTATTATACAGGATTTATTATTATTATTATTATTATTATACAGGATTTATTATTATTGTTGTTATACAGGATTTATTATTATTATTATTATTATTGTTATTATTTTACAGGATTTATTATTATTATTATTATTATTTATTATTATTATTATTATTATACAGGATTTATTATTGTTATTATTATTTTACAGGATTTATTATTATTATTATTATTATTATTATTATTATACAGGATTTATTATTGTTATTATTATTTTACAGGATTTATTATTATTATTATTATTATTATTATTATACAGGATTTATTGTTATTGTTGTTGTTATTATTATTATACAGGATTTTTTATTATTATTATTATTATACAGGATTTATGGCGCCAACAGTTTGCTCAGAGCTTTACAATATAACGGGAGACAATACAGCAACAATACAGTTCAATACAAGAGGGATAGAAGGGCCTGATCCTGGGCGCTTACAATCTAGGAGGGAGGGGCTAGTGGTACAAAAGGTAGTAACTGTGGGGGATGGAGTGGTTGGAAGAGTAGAAGATTCCATTATTAGCTGAGGGCCGGATAGGCTTCCCTGAAGAGATAGGTTTTCAGAGATCGCCTAAAAGTGAGCAGAGTAGGCGATAGTCTGATAAATTGGGGTAGAGAGTTCAAGAGGATGGGGGAAGCTCTGGGGAAGTCCTGCAGATGAGCATGGGAGAAGGAGACAAGAGAGCTAGAGAGCAGGAGGTCGTGCGAGTCAAGGAGGGTTTCCTCATGGTAACGACAGTAGACCATGCCTGTGTGTTGAAACAGCCACTAGTAGACTCCATTGGGAAAGTGTGTGTCACAGTGACAATTCAGTGCAAACATGGGAGACAGGGACACAGCTTTGTGAATCTAGAACAGGAAGTGCCTGAACAAGGACCTTCATGGCAGGATCACCAGGTTTTATTTCTATGAAAGCTGCACATTTGAGCCGACCATAGATGATTCAAATCGGCTGAGGTATGAACCATCTATGGCCAGGCTGATTGTTTGTACAACCAGCATGTTGGATTGTTCATGCGATTATTGGCAGCGGTTGTAGCCAGTAGCATTAATCATTGTGTTCTCCCAGCAGGGACGGTTCCCCACCTTACACCCCCCCCCCCCCCTCTTTCCTGGGAGAACACAATAGCTCATCAGGAGGGATTCCCCATCAACATTGACTGTGTTGATGGGGGAATCAAGCTATGCAAGCCATCTTCTATGGCTTGCTTTAGTCATTGGCTTTACATCTACTTTAAAGGAGAATTTCAGGTAAGGATATTTTATACATGGTTGCATTTATTTATTTATTATTTATTTCAGGTACTTAAATAGCGCCGTCAATTTATGCAGCACTTTACATATATATTGTACATTAACATCAGTCCCTAACCCTCAAGGGGCGTACAGTCTAAGGTACATTGATCCAGCTTGGACCACAATAACTACGTAAACATCATAACTGGCTGATACCCCTGGAAGCTGGAAATAACTGAAGTAGACACCACTACTCCAGTGATCTCCACTTGCTTCCGGGTCCCATGCCGAGCGACTGCCCTGTTGCATTCTCAACACAGTTGGCCACTTGGTGTCGGCCTGGTCTCTAAATGAATGAGGTGGTGCGGTGATGTCATGCTCTCCGACTCGTCTAATGAAAGAAGGCTTTGCATTCATGCAGAAAATGTTAAGCGTTTTGTGAATGGCACCCGTGATGAGCATCTGACCTCCTTTGTTCACTGTGACGCAGGGCAGTCACTGAGCACGGAACCTGGAAGCAAGTGGAGATCACTGGAGTATCTACTTCAAGCGGAACTTTACCGTTTTACAACTGTTTAAAATGTAACATTCTTTAGCAAGGAACATACATCCCATAACTCCTTTGCGCCGAGAGTACGCAAATACGCGCCTCTCAGCAGCTGGGCCCGAACGCCAAGAGGCCGCATATTTACACGCCAAAATGTTAACAAACTGTTGCAAGAGTGCAACTCCTGGCAGAATATAAATACTATATAATAACAATCTTCGTTTACTTTGTAATTGACTAGGGAGTGCTACAGCAAGGGTTCAAATACCCCGTGCTGCAGTATTCTGAAGAGCTGGACCACAAAAGCACCAGCCTGGCTCCCACGTGGTCCAATGCCCCCCCCCTTCCCTGTCCCCAAACTGAGCACCAATCAACAATGCTCTTACTACCAGAGATAGTATGCAGTTTAGGTGACAAAGACCCCTTCCAATCAAGCTTTTGTACGGGTACTTATATACGCAGTTCTCATATGTACAGTACAGGGGCGGACTGACCATTTGGAAACTCGGACAGTGCCCGAGGGCCCAGGGTCAGTATGAGATGAGATGCCCCTGGTACCTTTTTCATAGGCTTTTTTGAGTTTGGGCAAGGACACAGGGGCCCCATGATCCCCTATTGCCCGGGGCCCCATGAGTTGTCAGTCCGCCCCTGGTACAGTATATTGCGCTGATTATCTGCAGCACTTTACAACACGTGTGGACCTTTTAAAATGCCTCTGAAGTCAAAATATTTTTTTACTTTAACCACTTGGCCTCCAGAGGATTCCCCCCCCCCCCCCCCCCCTTCCTGACCAGGGCATTTTTTGTGATACGGCGCTGCGTTACCTTAACTGCCAATTGCGTGCTCATGCAACGCTGCACCCAAATGAAATTTATGTCCTTTTTTTTCCCCCACAAATAGAGCTTTCTTTCTGTGGTATTTGATCGCCTGTGCATTTATTTTTTTGCGCTGTAAACAAAAAAAAGACTGACAATTTTGAGAAAAAAAAAACAATATTTTTGACTTGACTTTTTCTATTAAACATGTCCAGTAAAAAAATTGTAAAAATCTAATTTTATCATTAATGTATTCTGCTTTATGTCTTTGCTAAAAAAAAATCCCAATACGTGTAAATTATAGCGTTTACAAATGGTGATATATACTGGAATTTAAAAAAAAAAAAATTATTTTTACTAGTAATGGCGGTGATCAGCGACATATAGCGGGACTGCGACAGGGATTCTGATGCTGGGGGGAACTGACTTGGTGTTACTGACATCCTCAGTGACACCACTAATAAAAAGCACTGACGCTGTACTAATGGCACTGGGCAGAAAGGGGTTAACATGTGGGCTGTTTTACAGTATGCTGTGTGTGTGTGTTTTCCACTGTAAGCACACTGCTTTGTATGGCTGTGCTATGCAGA